ACAGTAATATGGAACCAGAAAGTCTTCACCTTGACATAGGGCCTCTGGATGTCCTCCAAGGTCCTCCCCTGCAGGTCACTTTAGGCATCCTCGTGGGAAAGCTGCTGGGACAGATCCACCCCACAAAGTCTTCCTCCAAAGCAGCAAGCACTGCAGGAATCACCAGCACATCTTTAGTGAAAGGTCACAAGCATAGCACTTGACTTCCTGTCAATTTTCCCCCTATGACTCTAGCTCAACACAAATCTTCCCACATTCGCTTTCACTGGATCTACACAGTAACGATTACTTTTCCCCCTTTCATTTCCTCTTGAGTTCTTTATCACCATCCAAAGCTGATTTACATTCTAGTCTAAGTCATTCAAATCCAACAGGGCTTTTCCTATCTGTAAAGATCATGTCCCACAATAAGGCTCTGCCAGACCACTCCTAAGGTCCCTGCTGAGCCAACTTCTTTCTTAACTCTCCACTGAATATGGTTCCATCTGGCTTGGTAACTTGGGCATTGCGCACCATCCAGTTCTGGCTTGGTGAACTACCATGCCTGATTTCCTCTGTAATATCCTCCCTCTATTGTCCTGCAATCTCTGATATTCATGGGGACCTCAGCTAGTGACGATCAAGTATCCCTAATGACGTCTATAAGCCAGTCCTTCAGAAACCAATCATTCTCGTATGGCCTCAGATTAGGCAGCCTTTATCTCAAAGAGGGAGGAGGAGAAATATCACTCAGGCCCTGCTTTCATGGCATTCAGAATGGTCCCATCCCCTCACCCAATACCCTTCAGACTGATCCCATCTCCTCACCCAATAATACCCTTCAGACTGATCCCATCCCCTACCCAACACCCACAGACTCGTAAGCCAAGCTGTGGGAGGCTCTCATTACTTCTTAAAAACTTCTTGTTAATTCATTTTAAATTTAATTAATATTTAAAATTTTATGTTTATGTGTATGAATGCTTTGGCAGCATGTTTGTATGTGCACCATGTGTGCCTGGAGCCTGCAGAGGTCAGAAGAGGGCATCACAGCTGTGAACCACCATGTGAATGCTGGTAACCAAACCCAGGTCCTCTGCAAAAGCAGTAAGTGCTCTTCACTGCTGACCCATCTCTTCAGTCCCTCTTTCCTTATTTAAAGAGTCTTTCCCCAGCCAGGGGGTGGTGGGCACACCTTTAATCCCAGCACTTGGGAGGCAGAGACAGGCAGATCTCTATGAGTTCAAGGCCAGCCTGGTCTACAGAGTGAGATCCAAGACAGACTCCAAAACTACATAGAGAAACCCTGTCTCGAGAAACAAACAAACAAAAAAGGCTTTCCCCAATTCAGGCATTTCAGATGCAGAATATTCCCTGATTATAGGTTTCCTGTATGGAGCATAATTAAGGACCCCCATCTAAACGCTGAGTCATAGATTTCCCTGGAGCCTGAGGGGTGTCTTCTATGACTTCTAGCTTGCTCTCTACTGTAGATGTAACTATCTTGTTAAATAAGAAACACAAAGCCAAATACAGAGTTAAAAGCCAAGAGGTCAGAGCAATAGCTAAGAGCTGAGATTAAAAACCTTACTCTTCACTGCCGCTGTTGTCCTACCTCTCTGCAAGAGACCTACTTCCTGTGTGTTTGTCCTTTTATTGACTTCATATTCTGCCATCTCATTGGTTGTAAACCCAACCACATGACCTCTTCACTGCCCATCCATACAGACCTCCAGGTCTTCTATGGCTGGTATTGAGATTAAAGGCATGTGTCTCCATGCTGGTGGTATTCTTGAACACAAAGATCTGCCTGTCATGTGATCGGGATTAAGGGCATGTGCTACCACTGCCAGACTTCTGCTATGGCTTGCTATTAGCTCTGACCCCCAGGCAACTTTAACATACAAATAAAATCACATTTCAGTACAAATAAAATATCACCATATCTCCCCTTTTCTATTTTAATAAAAAGAAAAAAGAAAAAAGTTATAACTAATATAAGAAAAACTATATACAAAAGGATAATAATTATATAGCATATATACAAGCAATAAAAACCTAAACAATGTCTAGTCCATATGCATTTGACAAATTCAGAGAAAATAATTTCATTATCTATCCTATTTTGCTAAGTTTTTCGAGACAGGATTTCTCTGTGTAGCTTTGCGCCTTTCCTGGAACTCGCTTTGGAGACCAGGCTGGCCTCGAACTCACAGAGATCCGCCTGCCTCTGCCTCCCGAGTGCTGAGATTAAAGGCGTGCGCCACCACCGCCCGGCTCCTTTCTGAAATTCTTAACAAGGAAAACTATAACTATCTAATCTTCCACATAACTAATCTTCAACTCCCTCAGAGACCCAAGAAGGAAATAATATTACCTAACAAAAAATAAAAACAGGAAGTGCATGCAAGCAACTTCCAAAAAAAATGTGAGTTGACAAAACAGCCAGCTGCCTGGACAGTCACCTAAGGTTTCTCCGCAGTGTTGGGGCATCATCTTCAGCCTATAGGCTTAGCGTATCTGACAGACTTATTTGTGAAGTAGGATGTACACAAGGTCAACAGTTCAACCTTACATTGGGTGAGAGCAGTCCATGTACCAGAAACACCTGTCCTGTCATGATTCAGGATTTTAAATTCTGGAAATTGTTGATTTTTTTTTAATTCAGCTGTTCATTCTTCTTGGCTATGTGTGTGTGTGGCTTCATCTCAGCATCCCCTTCTTCTTTCCCACTAACTCTTCCCAGGAGGAGCACTTTAGGAGAGTTCCTTTGTACTGCCGTTCCACTGTGCCACCCCCAGTCACATGAAGCAGAGCCAACACCTTCAGCTCATGTTGTCCCCTCCTCCCCACTTTCAGACCAGCGCAGAGGCTAGTGTGGAAGAGAGCATCCGTTATCTTGCCCCCAGGATTTCTGCCTGACATAGTAGAATCCTTTCTGTGCAGACAGCTGAGTCTCAGTTTCATATCTTTTCTCATTTGTTTTGGTTTTTTTTTTTTTTTGGGGGGGGACAGAGTATCACCGTGTAGTGAGAGGACAGAGCAGATACCATTACAGGTTGCTCAGTCTTCTGTCAGAGATCAGGCCTCAATTTCAGTTTCCTGAGACTGACAGTTTCTGAGGAAGCCAAGAACAAAGGACAATCCATCTTCAACACCCCTAATTGCGCGTGCCAGGCCTGAGCCAGCCCCCACAGTCAATTGCTCAAGGTAATAACCAAATAAAGACAAAGCCTGGGACTTATCCAGACCTGCCCCAAATTGTAAAGTTGTAGACTTAAACTAGCCCCTGACTAGCTTGAGCCAATTAGAATGTACTAATATGATTGCCACTGCTTAAGCCAATCATATCTGAGATGACCTAACTGTCCTAGGAACTCCCCTTAGCTGTGCTTAAAAGGAGCCTGTGAGCTTCTCTCTGGTCATTGCCATCTTGCGTTTGTGTAGGATGGACGGCCCCAGCATGCTGGTATAATAATTGTTCTTGCTGATTGCATATGGGGATGGTGGTCTTTTGTGGGATTTCTCCAGGACCCGAACATGTAGCCCTAGCTGTTCTGGAACTCACTCTGTAGACCACGCTGGCCCTGATCTCATGGAGATCCTCCTGCCTCCGCCTTCCTACTGCTGCAATTTAAAGGTGTGCACCACCGCCTGGCGCAGGTTCATATCTTATCAGTTCTACAGCAAAGGCCACACAAGCAGTGCCACAGCTTGCTCATTATTCTGGCCCTTACTGTCTTAGGGTTACAATTGCTATGATGAAACACCATAACCAAAAGCAACTTGGGGGAAGAAAGGGTTTATTCCACTCACAAGTCCTCGGGTTCATCATCAAAATCAGTGAGGTAAGGAACTCCATCTAGCGGGGCTGATGCAGAGGCCATGGAGGGGTACTGTTTACTGGCTTGTTCCTGCTGGCTTTCTCAGCCTGCTTTCTTATAGAACCCAGGACCACCAGCCCCAAGGGTAGCCCCACCCACAATGGACTGGGCCCTCCTACATCAATCAATAAGAAAATGTCCTTCAGCCTTGCCTGCAGTCCAATCTTAAGCAGGCATTTTCTCAATTGAGGCTCCCTTCTCTCAAATGACTACAGTTTGTGTCAAATTGACTTAAAACTAGTCAGCACACTTACATACTATTTTAGAGACTGTATATATCTTCTATTCCATCAGGAGTTTGGGAACATTCTCACATTGATGTGGTGGACCCCATTCATTATTAAGAAGGCATGCCTGGTGGTGGTGGTGGTGGTGGTGGTGGTGGTGGTGGCGGCGGCGGCGGCGGCGGCTCACCTAGCCTTTAATCCTAGCACTCAGGAGGCAGAGGCACGCAGATCTTTGAGTTTGAGGCCAGCCTGGTCTACAGAGGGAATTCCAGGACAGCCAGGGCTACATGGAGAAACCGTCTTAAAAAACTAAGAAAAAAAGAAAAAGAGGGGGGAAAGGGAGGGGGCAGGAAGGGAGAGAACAAGGGAATCTGTGGCTATTATGTAGAACTGAATAGTATTGTAAAATAAAATAAATAAATAAATAAATAAATAAATAAATAAATAAAGAAAGAAAGAAAGAAAGAAAGAAAGAAAGAAAGAGAGAGAGAGAGAAAGAAAAAGAAAGAAAAAGAGGAAGACTGCCTTCCTCACATAACAGCTTAGGAATCCATATATAGCACAGACTGGCCTTAAACTTGTGATAATACTCCTGCCTTCGCCTGCTAAGCATTGAGATTACAGGTATGAGCCACCATGCCTAGCTTATCTTTTTTCTCTACTTCAGTGTTTTATCATCCAGGGCAGGGCTAAAGCAACTGCTGGCACAGCACAGAGGCATGCTGCCCCATACTACACACAGTAAAATGGCCTGCCTCTTCAGGCTTGCTCCCGTTTCCAGAGTTCACTCTCAGATGGTTTAGGTTCAGTTACATGTCTCATTCCCTCTTCCCCCTTTGTGAGACTGATCCTGAAGAGACATAAACAAATGTCTACTTACCCCAGATTTGGAAATGACAACAGATCAAAGTACAGATACCACCAAAGTCCAATTCAGTTTTATTGTGGTTCCTTACAGAAGCAGAAATGACTCAAAGACAGCTATATCTCTAAAGTCACCCTGGCATGGGTGATAAGACATAAAAGCTAGGGGTCTGGAGGACACTGCACAGTCTGCAAGAAACTCAACAGGCTGAAGAATGTCCTTTCCAGGTGGCTTGGTTGGTCTGGGCCTCTTCCAGAAAGTTCTGCTGGTCTTTGTGTCTTCTAGATCTCTGCTTCTTCCAAGCAGCTGAGATTGTGAGATAGAGAAAGTCTTCACTGGTTATAAACTACCCTCCCTAGTAACACTGCTCAGTTTCAGGGACTTCCTGAAGCTATTCTGAGTTGTTTACTTCTCGTCTTAGTGAGCTTCCCTGAAGGATGGAATGATAACACCCCCATAGCAAGAAATGCATCTGGTCCTCCCAAACTCAGTATAGCTCCTGTTCTGCCTATTTGGATAATAAGTGTTGTGTGTTCTCTCTTTGACAGCACTGTCCTCTGAGCCAAACTGCCACCATCTCTGCCAGTTCTGGTTGTGCTTGTTGACTGCTGATGTTCCTTTATAGGAGGAGGAGGAGGAGGAGGTGGAGAGGGTCATGAGACGCTCACCTGAATATCCAACCGCTCTTCCCAACCATTTGTACACAATTCTCTAACTACACGGGCCTCAGGCCTGGGGTCTCAAAGGGGGTTAGAGTATACAGATTAGGTAGGACTAGAGAGGGAACTCCATCTGTGCAAGCCATGGGAGAGCCATCATCCATGAGGGGTGCAGACTTTCCAGTGTGGCTGCTTTGGGTTTGACTCTTGTCAGTAACCTCTTTGATAGGCTCTGTAAGAAAGCCCAGTGATGCCAGGCAGGAGTGGCACACACCTTTAATCCCAGCACTCCGGAGGCAGACGCAGGCAGATCTCTGTGAGTTCGAGGCCAGCCTGGTCTACAAAGCAGGTTCCAGGACAGCCAACCCCTGCATGGGTGATGACTTCCTGAAAGTTCTATCGGTGGAGTATCCCTTTATTTAACCTAACCCTCCAGCACAGTGGTTCTCCACCTTCCTAATGCTGTGACCCTTTAATACAGTTTCTCATGGTGTGGTGACCCCCAACCATAAATTATTTTCGTTGCTACTTCACAACTATAATTTTGCCACTGTTATCAATCTTTATGTAAATATCTGTGTTTTCCAATAGTCTGAAGCTACACCCATGTAAAGGTCTTTCGACCCCCTTGGGGGGTTGTGACCCAAATGTTGAGAACAATCCCTCTCGCACCTTCTGAGACCAATGCGGCTGGGAGAGGCAGAAGGGAGAATGAAAAACTATAGGATCAAGTGAGGGTCTTATGACCTTTCCCTCATCAGTGGCTGTTAATAGTCCCAATCTTGTGAGGGTCACCTGCAGAAAATCACATCTGTTCTGACTTCTAGATGTAATGACCACTTCCTGCTAGGAGAGAATGGGCTCCCACAGGACATACAGAACATCCCACAGCACCCAAGTGCTGAGATTAAAGGCATGCACCACCACTGCCCAGATACAGTTATGAATCATAATGTAAATATCTGATATGCAGGATATGTGATATGAGACCCCTCTGAAAGGGTCGTTTGACCCCCAAGCCGCAGGTTGAGAACTACTACTCTAAAGGCAGCCTCTGTAGCACCTCGTATGTGAAAGTCCATCTTCCAGTGAACTTAAATGGAGTCAGCTGAAGTATGGTGGCCCATGCCTGTAATCTTAGTACTTGCGAGGCAGGAACAGGAAGATCAGGAGTTCAAGGCCAGACTCCTCACCTGGTCTCAAACCCCACCCCCCCCCTTTTTTTTTTTTTTTTTTACCAGATACTGAGAAAAATGGATAGTGTGCTGGTTATTTATTTATTTATGTATTTATATATTTATTTATTTTGGTCAACTTGACACAAGCTAGCGTTATCCAGGAAGAGGGAATCTCAAATGAGAAAATGCCTCCTCCATCAGATTAGCCTGTAGGAAAGCCTGTGAGGCATTTTCCCTTTGGCATGTCTGGAACTCTTTATGTAGAACAGGCTGGCCTTGAACTCACAAAGATCCACTCCAACTGTTGAGATTAAAGGTGTGTGCTATCACCAGCCCATTTTCTTAATTAATGATTGATATGGGAGGGCCCAGACACTGCGGGTGGTGCCAACCCTGAGCAGGTGGTTCTGGGTTGTACAAGAAAGGAGGCTGAGGGTTGGAGAGACAGCTCAAGCTGAACAACCAAAGACCAGGAAGTGGTCCGAGCAAGCCAAGAGAAGCAAGCCGGGAAGCAGTCTTCCTCCAGGTTCCTTTCTTGAGTTCCTACCTTGACTCTCTGAGTGATAGACTGTTACCTGGTAGTGTAAGATGAAATCAACCTCGCCGAGTTGCTTTTGCTCGTGGTGCTTATCACAGCGATACAAAGCAAACTAGGATAGATGGTAAACAAAATATTGAGAGGAAGTATCTGACATACGTGTGCGTGTACTAACTTGAGCCAGCATATTCAAAGAACTGTGAATCAATAATGAGTGAGAACACCCTAAGAACGTTGTCCCCACGGTTCTTATTATTGACTGAAGAGACAGCTCCCATCTCCACCTTCTCAACCTGCTACTTATTCATTCGGGAGAGATGCAGAATCAAGGGCAAGGGAGGGATCACCCGGCAGCCTAATGCAACACCGGGAACACTCTTATCTGGGAAGCGGAAACTGGTGGCTTTGCCAGAGGTTGCCCAGGCGGCCGCACACCTGTTGGATTCTCAGACTGCGAATCAGCTTGTCTGCTTGTAGGCAGGGGCTGCGCCGAGCCGGCCTTCCCACGATCGGGTGGGCGCACAGAGGGGTGCACCTCCTAGTAACCAAACTGGGAGCAGTAGAGAGCTACGAGGTCTCACAGCTGGAGAGAGGGGTGCACCTCGAGGTTCACCCGCTGGGGTGGGCGCACCTGTAGGGGAGGCACTGCTGGAAGCCAGAGCGGGCTCAGGGGATTAGCATGGCTCTGGAGCGTTGAGGACTGCAGAGTCTCATCCATCCGCAGGCTGTTGGGGTCTTAGGCTTAGAGCGCGAGTCTCAGTAGAAGCAGGCAGTCCGTTCATTCTACACATGCGAGCTCTAGAGAGCGACCGCACCTCGGTTCCACCCTCCCTGGACCGGTGGAAAATAACCAAGTCCTAGGGAGGAAAAGACCAAGGACCGTGGGCGTGGTCTACAGCGTCCGCTTCCAAGTACAAGGGCGGGGCTCGCCTCCAGGGGTGGGGCCACACTTAGCTTTGGCTCCGATTGGTCAGGACGCGCGGAGCATTGTGGATCGCCGCGCTCCTGCTGCCTCCTCAGCTGTACGCTCCTCGCCATGTCGGGGTCCCCGGTAAAGCGCCAGAGGATGGAGTCCGCCCTGGACCAGCTCAAGCAGTTCACCACCGTGGTGGCCGACACGGGTGATTTCAATGGTGAGAGGACGCGGCGCGTGCGCCCTGAATGAGCTGCGGCACCCCCAATTTTGGGACCAGGACCGGTGTGGGTGCCTGGGGCGGGGCCTCGAGGGCGCTGGAGCCCGGATTGGCGAGTCTGCCGAACTCTCAAGGTCCTACACCGGCCTCCGGGCTATTGGTGACCCTGGGAGCCCCTTGCGAAACTTCGGTGGGTCGAGGCGATCTAAGGAAGAGTCCCGCCGACCCCTGGTGTCCAGCCTACTATAACACAGGCTCAGCTTTGGAGCCGGTGCAGTCTGCGGGGCCGGGCCGGCCTCTGTGGACACCACCTGCTTTTGCAGCTTGTTGCATTGGCCTTCCAAGGTGGCAGCTGGTTACTGTCTGGGTACCCAGTACGCTGGAGTCAGACCAGATGCACACACTAAATCACGTGGTTATTCTATTGCCAAACCTCCTTTTCTTCTGAGACAGGGTTTCACAGGCTGCCCTGGAACTCCTGGTAATCCTTCTGTCTTAGCCTCTTACTTAGTGCTGGATCGGGCAGTTCCACCACGCCCAGCTCCAGCACTCAGATTTTCCTGGACTTGGAGAGAACTTGGAAGACATAGGTAGAAAGGCTTGACCTGCTAGTCCGACTCTGAGCCGTGTAGAGTGGGCTGGCTGAACTTGTTTTCACATCTGCTGTGAACATGAGACTTTGAGGAAATGCTCCACGAGAGCCCAGTACAAAAGCACCTTCTGCTCTTTTCTGCTTTCTCACGGTGACTTGAGTAACAGGCTTTAATTCCTCATGAGTAAGTACATTGTTTATCTCTCAGAGAGTCAGAGTGATGAGGCATATTTGGGCTGCTTTAAATATAAAGGAAGGACAGACCCGATGTGGGTCTAGTAGTGAACCTGTCTGACAGAAGCTATGTGTTTGTCAGAGAGCTTCTAGAAATCCACCTGGGAGCCCTGAGGTCTTTCCACTGTGAATGTAGTGCAGATCTTTCTGCTATCGTTTATGAAGTGTGCAAGAGCCAGGCATGGTAGCACATGCCTGCATTTGGGAAGCAGAGGCAGGCAAATCTCTTATATTGGAGGCCAGTCTGGTCTACATAGTTCCAGGCCAGCCAGGGCTACATGGTGAGACCCTGTCTCAAACAAAAATAACAAAAGTACATTCATTGATAGTGTAGCTTAATACAAGTTAAATAATTACAAGCACTGTGTTAGATTTGATGTCTATTGTGTGGTGAAGGTTTCTTAACTCCTTGGGTGTCACAGGCCCCTGAAAATAGAATCTGATGCCTAGAACACTTGCCCCCGTCATTTTCCACTAAACGTAAGGGTCTTTGGGCCTTAAAGCCCATCTGTAGGGGTGGGATAGGGATCAAGCCCAGGGTATCTGTCACACAGGTGCTCTTCCACTGAGCTGTGTCTCCAGCAGCCTTTGGGTCTGCAGTTTTTGTTTTTGTTTGTTTGTTTGTTGTTTGTTTGTTTCCGAGACAGGGTTTCTCTGTGTAGCTTTGTGCCTTTCCTGGAATTCACTCTGTAGCCAGGCTGGCCTCGAACTCACAGAGATCCGCCTGCCTCTGCCTCCCAAGTGCTGGGATTAAAGGCATGCACCACCACCACCCAGCGGGTCTGCAGTTTTAGACAAAGAAAGCTCCATTTTCTGTGCACCCTTCAATGGGTTCACACCTGAGCCAGCACCACTCCAGAGCACTTTTTCCCCTACTTGTTATTTTGAAATAATTACAGGCTCCCGAGATGTTGCAAAAGTAGCCCAAGCACCCTTTGCCCAGTTTCCCTAGTGATGTCCAAATCAGGAAGCAGACACCAGTGAGCCATGCACTGTGCTGCCTGTAGACCAGGCCGGCTGTGGTTATCTCTGCAGCAGTTTCATAATGTGCAGACTTCTATGAGCACTATGAGGACACAGAGTTATCCTGTTCTTATTCTCAGAAGACTTATGGTGGTGTAGACCTGTAATGTAATCTCAACATTGGGGAGGTCAAGGCAGGAGGATTACAAGGTTTTGGTTTTTCGAGACAGGGTTTCGCCGAGTAGATTTGCACCTTTCCTGGAACTCATGTGGTAGCCCAGGCTGGCCTCGAACTTACAGAGATCCTCCTGGTTGTGCCTCCCGAGTGCTGGGATTAAAGGCGAGTGTTACCATCACCCAGTTACAAGTTTTTAAAAAAAGAGTTAAGCAAGCTCATGAAGCTGGACATTGGTGGCTCTGCATCTGTTCCTGTGCCTGTTCACTTGGATAGCTGAGCTGACAGGGCCTCATTGGCTTTTCTGAATTCCTGAGTGGAGGGGGAACTAGTATGTTAAAAGAGCTAATACAGCTTGGCATGATATGCACCCCCTTGCCCCAAAAACCAACCAACCAACCAAACAAACAAACCTAAAGAGAGGAGAACTGAAGGAGTGTGGTGTCGGCATACTCGGCAGTGGTTTAGGATTAGTGCGCCTCCTACTGGCTGTGAGGCAATAAGACACACTTGTGAAGCATGTTCTAGCATCCTCATACTTCCCTTCCAAGTCATTAAAAATCAGCTTTTGTGGGAGGATGGTTGTTCTGGGGTGCCTAATTTTGTTTGCTGTTGTTGTGGTTGTTGCTTGCTTTGTTTTGTTTCGAGGTAGGGTCTCACTGTGTAGACCTGGCTAGCCTGGAACTTACTGTGTAGACCGGGCTGGCCTCAAACTCTGGCTTATTTGTTTTGTTTTAAACCTTACTATAAAAAACGTTGCAAATTAAAACACACACACACACACACACACACACACACACACACACACACACACACACACACCACTATAGTTTGGTGGTCTGTTTTGGTTTGAGACAGAGTCTCACTATGTAGCCCTGGCTGGTCTGGAACTCACTAAGACCAAGCTGGCCTTGAACTCAGAGCTCCTCCTGTGTATGCTTCCAGGGTGTTGGGATTAAAGGCATGTGTCACCACACTTAGCTTTGGTCTTTTGAGACGTGGTCTTGCTCTGTAATCCAGGCTGGCTTTAAACTCTCAGTCATCTGAGCTAGGATCATAGGCTGTGCCGCTGTTCCCAGCTCAAGTGTGTGGCGTTGATTACTGTCTTCACATGGAAGCCAGCCTCTGGAGCTGCTGTGAGCATTGTCACTGTGATCCACTTGGGCACTCTTCCCCATCTCAAGTGAAAGCTGCTTCTGGTCACTATGACAGAATACCTGAGAGAAAACTTAAGGGAGGGATGATTTGTTCTGACCCACAGTTTCTAAGGTTTCAGTCCCTTGTGTCAGAGAGGTCACAGGTAAAGCAGAGCAGCTCCTCTCGGGGCAAACAAGATACGGGGAGACAAAAAGACAGTGCCTGTGCTAGCAGACTGTCCCTCTTATTCCATTGGGCCTCCAGTCTGTGGTTATGCTGTCCACATTCTTAGCAGGTCTCTCCCTTAGTTAATCCTCCTGGAAGCACAGACAAGCCCAAAAGTAGTTTAGATCTAGATGCTCCTTGGCCCAGTCCAGCTGATAACAAAATTAACCATCCTGCCTGCTTTTGAAATGTATTTACCTAGCCATTGATGAGTACAAGCCCCAGGATGCCACCACCAACCCATCCTTGATCCTGGCTGCAGCACAGATGCCTGCTTACCAAGAGCTGGTGGAGGAGGCCATTGCCTATGGCAAGAAGCTGGGTGGGTGAGTATGGGTGATGGAGAGCTCCCCGCAGGTCCCACTCCCCAAGTTGGCCATATTTCTCTTCCAATCCAACACTGTCTTTTGTTCATTGAGATGTGATTTGTATGGAGTAAATCACTCTCACTGGATCTGTGGTTCTGGGGCTTACCAGTGTGAACACATGCAGCTGAGATGTAAAACACTGACGGCCTTCCTGTCTCTGACAGGCTCTCTATAGCTCTGACAGCCATGCTTTGCCTTCTGGTTGTCATTACTTTCTGTCTTTGTTTTTTTTTTTAGATTTATTTATTATGTATACAGTGTTCTGCCTACATGTTTGCCTTCAGGCCAGAAGAGGGCACCAGACCTCGTTACAGATGGTTGTGAGCCACCATGTGGTTGCTGGGAATTGAACTCAGGACCTTTGGAAGAACAGCCAGTGTTCTTAACCTCTGAGCCATCTCTCCAGCCCCTGTCTTTGTTTTTTGTTAGTTTTTTTGAGACGGGATCTCTACATAGCCATGGCTGTCCTGAACACACTCTGTAGAGCAGGTTGGCCTCACAGAGATTCACCTGCCTCTGCCTCCTGAGTGCTGAGATTAACAGAACACACCACCTTGCCCAGATGTCACTCCTTTTTAACAATAGGCTAATGAATTTTAGTGAACTGTGCATTGGCACAACCATCACCACAATCTCTGATCCCCCTCCTACCTCCTTGTCTATGTCCTCGGCTTCTTTCCTGTTTGTATGATACAAGGTATCCCTGCCCAAGTGCTAAGATAACATTGTGTGCCACAGTGCTGGCCTCCAATCTTGTTCCTATAGTTTTACCTCTTCCACATTATCACACAGATCATAAATGTGTAGTCCTTTTTGATAAAGTAATTATAATATTTATGAGGTACGATGTGATTTTTGTTTTGTTTTTTCAAGACAGGGTTTCTCTGTGTAGCTTTGCACCTTTCCTGGATCTTGCTCTGTAGACCAGGCTGGCCTTGAATTCACAAAGATCCGCCTGCCTCTGTCTCTCGAGTGCTGGGATTAAAGGCATTTACCTCCACCACAGCCCGGCTACAATGTGATCATTTTATACATACATACATATATATATATATATATATATATATATATATATATATATATATATATATAGTTTGTGGTCAGATCAGGGTGATTGGCATTT